AGTACGTGATGTATCATCGCGCTTAGAACGATCGTGAATACGTAAGGTGACAGAGGGCACCCTGGCGCAATACTTGCATCTTTTCTTTCAGATGACGTTCCAGCGTCGGTCAGAATCGTGAACGGCCTTGCTGCATAGATGGGCTCTGTTGGCTGAACCATGCAGGGAGGACCCCCGAAGCGGATGAGCGAACCACACATGCAACGGGCTTAATCCTCTCAAATGTTCCGGCCCAGTCAAGCATACGTAGAGAAAACCCCTTATCATTTTCTAACTGCGCCGCATCGACCATACGGCTTACTAAAAGGAGCACGTCTTTGGTTCCTGCCCAAGGTCTGGAACCATATTGCTACTGTCGTAAGCGATGCTCGCATTCGCCCTGAACAAGCCGTTGGTGTAGAAGTGTGGCGAAGATATTGTACCTAACTGGTAATCATGGTGTAGACCTTTAGTTTTCCCCTGTAGTTTGCCGGTGCAGTCGCACTTCCTGTTCTGAACATTAACACCACGTGCGAGGGCCTGCAGATTTCTGGAATTGATGTTTGTTCTCAGCACTTATAAACCATGTCCAATTGGAGATTGCGCATCTATATATACATACACACTGAATCTTCATATCCATACACATAATCATATATTCGTTGCTAATCGGTGTATATATGTAGTGTTTATGTGTGCAATATCATAATACAGTCGTGCATGTTCTTGTGAGTAAAATCAGCATGCAGTCATGCACGCGTGTCTCATATATTCAATGTGTGCATGTATGTATGGATGTATGCATGTATGTGTGTATGCATGCATGCATGCATGCATGTATGTATGTATGTGTACACACACATATATATATATATATATATATATATATTTATGTGTGAATATGTTTATATATATGTATATATATATATATATTGGTACATTGAAGTAGGCCGAGGGATGGCCAATAACTGCTACCTCTGGTTCGCATGGGGGGCCAGGGGGGCCTTGAGTGCTTAAAGACCCCCCCAGAGGCTCCCAAGCTGGCCCAAGAGGCGCCCAAAACGCCCCAGGTTGTCTGGAATGTGGCTGAAGAGCGCGCTGAGATGGCTTCCGGACGGGCCAGGACCGCTCGAAGACAGCCCAAGACTGTTCCTAAACGGCCACAAAGGCACTCAAGACGGTTCAGAAGGCCGCCGAGAAGGCCCTCCAAAGGCAAACATTCAGCATTTCTTGTGGGAAAGCGTATATTTCCTGGAAATTTGCTTTTCAGTCCTACCAGCGGCCGCGACGGCCCCAGAGGCTCCCAAAATGAGCCCCAGACGGCCCAAGAAGCCCCCAAGAGGGTCCCCAGACGGCCTGAAGAGAGCTTCACACAGCACAAGAGAGATCCAACACGGCCCAAGCGAGTACCCAGGAACCCCGAGGGGGCCACCGGAGTATCCCTCCATCGTCGAAGAGGGCCCCCCGAGGGCCCCAAGACGGGCGCAGGTCCCCATGACGGGCGAAGAGGGACCCGGAACGGCCGATTTGGGCTCCCAGAGGGTCCCAGAAAAGGCCCACCAGGACTCCCAGAAAACAGTCCAGGAGGCCGCTGCGAAGGCTCCTGGGTACAACGAACGAGCATTTCCTATGGAAAAACGCATATTCCAATGATTTTCGCTGCTTATGTTCCATCGGCGGCCACGTCGGCCCCAAAGGCTCCCCAAATCGGCGCCACACGGTCCACGAGGCCCCCAGGAGGGCTCCAAGACAGCCTAAAGAGAGCGTCGAGCAGCACAAGAAAGTTCCAAATCAGCCCGACAGAGTTCCCAGGGGGCCCGAAGGAGCCACTGGACGATCCCTACATGGCCGGAGAGGGCTCCATGAGGGCCCCAAGACGGCTCAGCTACCCATGGCATGCCAAGAGGGGTTTGGGACCGGCGAAATGGGCTCCAAGACGGCCCCCCCCACGACTGTCCAAAAGGCCGCTGAGAAGGCCCTCCAAAGAAACAAATCAAGCATTTCCTTGTTGGAAAAACGTATAGGTCTGGGAGCTTCGCTTTTCAGTTCTACCAGCGGTCGTGACGGCCCAAGAGGTAACCAATATGGGCCCCAGACGGCCCCAGAGGCCCCAAAGAGGGTTCCAAGATGGGCTGAAGAGAGCTTCAAGCGACACAGAAGAGCTACAAGACGGCCCAAGAGAGTCCCCAGGAAGCCCAAGGGGGCCACCAGAGGATACCTACATTGTCGGAGAGTGCCCCAGGAGGGCCCCGAGACGGGCTGAGCTCCCCACGACGAGCCAAGAGGGACTCGGAACGGCCGAAAGGGACCCTCAGACGGTCCAACAAAGGCCCCAAAGGATTCCAAAGGAAGGCCCAGAGAGGCTCCAGATACTGCCACAAGGGTTCCAAAAAAGGCTCCCGGCACGCGTTCCCGTAGGCACCCGTGTACTGTGTGCGTTGAGAGGCGAGAGGAGGAGGAGGAGGAGGAGGAGGAGGAGGAGGAGGAGGAGGAGGAGGAGGAGGAGGAGGAGGAGGAGGAGGAGGAGGAGGAGGAGGAGCGGGGAGGAGGAGGAGGAGAGAGGAGGAGGCGGAGGAGGAGGAGGAGGAGGAGGAGGAGGACGACGAGGGAGGAGGAGGAGAGGAGCAGGAGGAGGAGGAGGAGAGAAGGAGGAGGAGAAGGAGCAGGAGGAGGAGGAGGAGGTGGGAGAGGAGGAGGAGGAGGAGGAGCAACAGGAGGAGGAGGAGGAGGAGGAGGAGGAGGAGGAGGAGGAGGAGGAGGAGGGGGAGGAAGATCAGGAGGACGAAGAGGGGGAAGAGAAGGGGTGTCGGAGAACGTACCCCAGTGATACCTGGTTTGTGGCAGCCACGCGTTGGTATCGACTTGGAGGAGCAGCAGGACGAGGAGCACCAGGAGCACAAGGAGAGACACACAGAAGAGCAGGGAAGACAGAAGGGAGGAGGACAAGGAGGAAGAGGAGGAGGAGGAGGTGAAGAAACAGGGATCCCTTTCAGGAGACGCCGACGAGGAAAAGGATGAATATAAGATGATGGGAAGAGGGCGAACGGAAAGAGGAGGAGAGAAATGGGACTGCAGTGGACTTGAGATGATGACGGCGATGACGCTGATGATGTTGACGATGACTATGCCGACGACGACGCCGACGACGACCAACAAGATGTTGATGGCGCTGATGGTGATGCTGAAACGTACGATGATGGTGATGGCGATGGTGATCACGATGATGATGATGATGATGATGATGATGATGATGATGATGATGATGATGATGATGATGATGATGATGATGATGATGATGATGGTGATGGTGATGGTGATGGTGATGGTGATGGTGATGGTGATGGTGATGGTGATGATGATGATAATGATGATGATGACTATGATGATGATGTTGATGATGATGATGATGATGATGATGACAATGGTGGTAATGACTACTGTTGTGATGGTGATGCTGAAGGTGACCATTACCATGGCGATGATGATGAAATGACGGGGATGAGACTGATGATGATGATGATGATGATGATGATGATGATGATGATGATGATGATCATGGCCCTAGCTAGATCTTGAGCGCGCGCGAAGCGCTCGCGATGGTTCTAGCACATGCATATAGATATACATGTATATGTGTATGTGTGTACCGTGTCTCACTCGTGTACTTGTGTATAGAATCATCTGCCCGTGTATAGCTATATACATGTGTGAATGTAAAAACTTATAGGTCTGCATGCACACATGTATACGGCGTATGGCTGAACCAGTGTAGCAAAGTGAGGGGGGATGGGGCTTACCTGCTCAACCCAGAAAATGGAGCAGTTTTTCGAAGGCAGATAAGCTCCGACATACTTGAATTGTATATCGGCGGCGCGCCAAGCGGGGAATGCAGAGGGGGCGGGCCTTCTCAGAAGGGGCAGACGGCCTCGGGCCTTCCAGGAAGCTTTCTGAACACGGGGGGCTTCTCACAAGGCCCGATGGTTTCCGAGACGCTCGCCGGGTTCTATCGCCTTCTGACATGGTTTGCCCTCTCCCCCCGGCCTGCACCTTCCGCACCTTCCGCGTGGGAGGTGCCGCAGCGGCGGCCACCGTCGAGGCCGCAGCGGCGGCGGCCTCCGTGCGGAGGGTGCAGAAAGCGCTTGGCGAGTGCTTTCCTTTCCCCCATCGGCGCGCCGCCGAATTTGTCCTGGCGGCGAATCAGGGTCGTGGTGCGCCGGTACCGCAAGACCCAGTGGCCGCTGGCGGCCGCGACCCCGGATGGCGCCGGCAGGCGCCGCCGCGTGACGGAGGCTGACGCCCGCTCAGCGGTCCGGGCCCTGCAGCGGTTGGAGCTTCCCTTCTTTGCGACCTCGGCGGAGCTCGCGGAGCTCGGCGGCGGAAGCCAGGGGCAACGTCAGGGGGGGCAGCGTCGGGTGATGGGCCTGTTTTTCACCACCACCACCACCACCATAAGTTGGAGGGGGGAAGGAGGTGGAGGAGGAGGAGGGGGAGGACGAGGACGAGGAGGAGGAGGAGGAGGAGATGGAGGAGGAGGAGGAGGAGGAGGAGGACCGAGGACCCCCATCCCCCTCCAACTGATGGTGGCGGTGGTGGAAAACCGGCCCATTCGACGTCGGGGGCGGCAGCGTCCGGGGGGACAGGCTCGAGGCTCGAGGGCTCGGGGCTCCTGCGTCGGTGGTCGGAGGCTCCTCCTGGCCTCGTCGGGGTGCCTTCCCGCGGCGGCGCCTCGCCCAGAGCGTGCCGGCCGCCACCAGCAGCGTCCTGGAGGGCCGCCGCTGGCTCGAGCTGTGGCCCGAGAGCCAGACGGCAGAGGGAGGAGGGAGGAGGGAGGAGGGAGGAGGGAGGAGGGATGAGGGAGGAGAGAGGAGGAGGAGGAGGAGGAGGAGGAGGAGGAGGAGGAGGAGGAGGAGGAGGAGGAGGAGGAGGGGGAGGGGGAGGGGAGGAGGACGCAGGACGCAGGACGCAGGACGCGGGATGCGGCTGGCTCACGTCGGGCCTGGCCCTCTACGGGAGGAGTATTCAAACGTAGTTTGCAAAAATAGTCTGGGGGCTATGTGTTCGACCTATTTTTTTGTTCCTGTTTTTGTTGTTTTACTTTTTTGACGTATTTTCCAAACATAGTCTGGGGCGATTGGTTTGACTTTTTTAATGTTTGGTGCACTTGGGGGCATTGTGTGTTTCTCGTCCAACATCCGCCTGTGGGGGGGCCCGCCCGACCTAACGACAGGCTCAGGGGGGGGGAAGGCATCGACCGTCCACTGCCCGCTTATCGCCCATGGGGGGGGGGGCCTGATTCAGCCACGCGCAGAGGGGGGTGGGGGGGAGGAGGGAGAGCTTCTCAGAGGCGCTCCTGCTTCTTAAAGGGCGCGGGCCCCATCTGTAGATGCGGCGCCTTCTAAGAAGCAGCCTCCTTCCGAGAAGCCCTCCCCCCCTCCTTTTCGAGCCTTTCGAGCGCGGCCCGATGGTCTCCGAGAGAGCCCTCCCCCCTCCCTCCACCCCCCTTGTCAGAGCCCCGAATTATCAGGGGTAACTCGGGTCAGGGCTAACTCGGGTTCGTTGTTCGGAAGTCCCAACCCGAGTTATCCCGGACCCGAGTTACCCCGGATAATTCGGGCGCCCAGAGCCCCGAATCATCAGGGGTAACTCGGGTCAGGGCTAACTCGGGTTCGTTTTTCGGGAACCCAAACCCGAGTTACCCCGGACCCGAGTTACCCCGGATAACTCGGGCGCCCAACTTGTGCGCGCCGCCAGGTGAACTGCCCACCCCTCTAGGCCTCCTAAATGGGGTCGGAGTAGACGGGGTCGAAGGATCGTGCAACGTCGCCGATGCATCGCCGACGCGGCTCGATGTGGGGCCCACTTTTCTCCACGCCGACGTCGCCGATGCATCGCCGACGTCGGCAGTGCATCGCCGATGCATCGGCGATGCATCGGCGATGCATCACCGATGTATCGGCGATGCGGCGCGATCCTCCGACCCCATTTACTCCGACCCCATCTAGGAGGCCTCTAACCCCATCGCCCAGAGGGGCCCGCCACCCCACCCCGCCCAGGAGCGTGCGGGTTCGCCACCGGGTGCCCATCGCCGATCTGTCCGCGCTGGAGGGAGGAGGAGGAGGAGGAGGGAGGAGGAGGAGGAGGGAGGAGGGAGGAGGAGGGAGGAGGGAGGAGGAGGGAGGGAGGAGGGAGGAGGAGGAGGAGGGAGGAGGAGGAGGAGGAGGAGGGAGGAGGGGGTGCGGGCTGGCGCTTTTCCCCTGAGCCGGTGGCGCGCTGTATCGCCGATTCCAGGTTTCAAGCAGTGGCGAAGCGTCCCGGCGTGCCTATAGCCCTACCAAACAATGTTCTAATAACCTTTTGTGGTGTCCACGACGTGTTCTCAGAGCATGTCTGGCGGAGCCCGTCTTGTTTTAATACATCGGACTAATGTTCTCAGAACACTGCTCCTGTTCTTAGAACATGTTTGGGTTCTTATAGGAGGGTCTTAGAACATTGTGGTAGACCATGTTTGTTGTCCCTACCACGATGTTCTAAGAAGGAACATCGATGTGTTTTGTCTACAAGACCCACACAAGCCTTAGAACATCGTGGTAGAACTTCCCTGCTCTAAGAACAACACCTTCTTATACAATGTTCTTAGAACACGTTTGGGTTTTAAGAACATCTCGTGGCAGGACTATAGCCAGAGCCCCGAAGTATCAGGGGTAACTCGGGTCAGGGCTAACTCGGGTTCGTTTTTCGGGAGCTCGAACCCGAGTTATCCCGGACCCGAGTTACCCCGGATACCTCGGGCGTCCAGAGCCCCGAACCATCAGGGGTAACTCGGGTCAGGGCTAACTCGGGTTCGTTTTTCGGGAGCCCGAACCCGAGTTACCCCAGACCCGAGTTACCCCGGATAACTCGGGCGTCCAGAGCCCCGAATCATCAGGGGTAACTCGGATCAGGGCTACTTCGGGTTCGTTTCTCGGGGACCCAAACCCGAGTTACCCCAGACCCGAGTTACCCCGGATATTTCGGGCGTCCAATATAGGAGTGCCGAGGCGGTCGCTCCCTGCTCAGAGGCTGGCGCCTTTTTGTTCCCCTGGGCCGGCGGCGCGCCGCCGTCGGGAGCCCGTCGGTGTGTTCGTCAGTCCTTCGTTCTCTCGTCCGAGCGCCCAGCGTTTCTTCACGCAGACGTCGGGTATAGCCAGGAGGAGGATAGCGAGGAGGAGGAGGAGGAGGAGGAGGGGGAGGGGGAGGAGGAGGAGGAGGATAGCGTTTCTTCACGCAGACGTCGGGTATAGCCAGGAGAAGGATAGCGAGGAGGAGGAGGAGGAGGAGGAGGAGGGGGAGGAGGAGGGGGAGGAGGAGGAGCAGGATCGCGCAGAGGAGAGCGAGGGAGGCGAGGCGGCTACTCTGGCCTCGTTCTCGCCTTTGGGGGGGGGCCTCATGGGCGGCCCTCGTCGCGGGTCGACCCTACCAGATCGATGGGTATAGCCAGGGCCCCGGGTGAGGGGACCCGGTTAGTGGTAGGTCCTTGGGGCCCTTCAATTGGCCAGAATCACCCATCCAGGTTTGCCATAGCTGGTGGTTTTCGGGTGGCGGCAGGTCCGGTCCGTGGAGATGGGGCGGGGGGGCGCCCCCCAGTACACATCACTGAACCAGGTTCGGGCTCCCCGCGGCGAAGGGTCTTTGGCACTGTTTTCGTCAGGAGTGACAAAACCACACACAGACACGATGAATCGTCGATTCCCCCGAAAAGATGGGGAACAATATGGGAAGTTGGGGGGGAAGACAAGAATATAGAAAAGATGGGAAAATATTGGGAATTCTGTGATTTGTGTCTATTTACTTGTGTGTCCCAGGTCCCCTTCATTTTGCCCCATCACCCCAGGAGTACCCGACTTGGCCCAGGGACGGCCTGCTCATCGCGAAGAAGAGCAGCCAGCACAAGCACCAGCTTCTGGGGGCGCGCTCCCGCATTTCTCGGATCGGCGCTCTTCGCGCGCCAGGGATGCGGGGGGGTGGGGGCAGCGCTGACTCAAGAATTCCGTGCGGACCTCCGAAGTGCAGTATTGTTTAGCCCATTCTTATGCCCATCTCTATCAGACCATGTTGCCTCAGCCCCACCATCCCCTCCCCCTCGGTGGGGGATAGGCCCTTCGAAACCCGAAGGGGGTTGCCTGCATCCCTGTCTGGGGGGCCTCCATCGGCGAATGGGCCCAAGCCCCTGCCAGTGGGGACGGGGATTGATGAAACGATGCTCAGCAATTTGTGCTTGTTCAGGCGATCGCAAACATGCATGAAGGGGGCGTGGATTAGCGACGGGCCTCGTTTTCACGAGAAATCGTGGATTTCAGCCGCTGAAGAGGCGGCTCCGGCTGCATTTTGGGATGGGCACCTCCCCCGATCCATGGATTTGGCGACCGCGCGCCAAATCCATGCATCGCTACACGCCGGTCGTTGAAAGTTTGTATTTTTGGATGCCCAATTCCTAATCTACTTTGGGCGCCTTCCTACTTCTAGAGTCGAGCGGTTTTCCTTCTTTCCTCCTCTTCAGGGGGCGGGTGGAAGCCCAATCTACTTCCAGCGCCTTCCTACTTCATGTTTTTACATACCTCTTCCCACCGGCGTGTAATCCAGGTTTGCGCGCCCCGGACTTGTGCTGATTTCTCTTCTTCCAGCGTCCGGGGGAACCTCCGCGGGGCGGCGGTGAGGGCGCCGGCGTGGGCGCCCAGGGACGCCGCCGCGGTGCAGGAGAGGCTGGCCACCGAGCTCGGGTGCCGCAGCGTCGGCGTGAGGCTCCTGCGCCGCCGGCTCCGCTCCGGCGAGGACGCTCTCGGGGGCCCTGGCGGCCTCCCGCGCTTCGACCTCTACGCGACGCTCGAGGACGGCGCCGAGGCTCGGTTATCGTTTGACCCATCCCCATCCCCATCCCCATCCCCTTCGAGACCCCCGACCAGAGTTCGCCCCCAGTCGGGGGCACACCCCTCGAAACCCGGAGGGAGCAGCCTACATTTACACCTAGGGGGGCAGGTCGGCCAGTGGGGCCCAGGCCTCGCCGCTGGGGGTGGGGATCGGTGAAACGATACTCGGAGGCCCCAGTCGTGGACGCCTCCGCCTACCTGGTGCCCGGAGGGTGGCAAAGATGCCGATGCCGCTGCCCGTCGGGGAGGGAGAGCCCCCGGTGCCACGGCAGGGTTCGCCCCGAGGCTCGTGCCGGAGCGCACTCCGAGAGAGGTCCGGGGTGCCGATGCCGCTGCTCGTCCTGGAGAGCCCTGGCTCAAGCGGCTGGAAAAGCCGCGAGATTCCAGCCAGAGCGCACGCCAGGAGAGCTCTGGGAAGCAGCTCCGAGGCGGGGAAACTTCTCCATCACCACCGCTCGAGGGATCGAGCTTCGGCAGGGGGACACGTGCGACCCCTGCCCCTAACCCCCCACGATTTCTGAAGGGGAGGGTGGGGTTCACTTCGCTCAGGGATCGTGGGGTGTAGGGGTAGGGTTCGCATGTGGCCCCCTGTTCGGGGCCATCGGCTTGCCGTGGATGTGGATGATCTGTTCGGGGCCCATCCCTTTCCGCCGCCTGCCAAGGCCCACGGAGCTCGATCCCCCAGGCGGTGGTCGTGGACAAGTCCTTGCCTCTCTGTGTCCCTAGGTGTCCGTGTCGACGCTCGCGGCCTGCCTCCTCTGCTTCTACGGCCTGTCGGCGGGCTGGCTGCCAGCCGCGGGCGGACCGTCGGCGGGCTGGCAGGGCTCAGTATCGTTTGACCGACCCGTATCCCCGTCCTCATCCCTGTCCAGCCCCCAGTACTCTCAGCACTCCAGTTGGGCATATGCCCCTGGAAACCCGAAGGAATCGGCCCAAATCCCAATCTAAGGGTGTGATTCGGCCAGGGAGACCAAGACCACGCCAATGGGGATAGAGGCCACGCGGGGATGACGACGACGAGGACGACGACGACGAAGAAGACGACGAGGAAGACGACGAGGGAGACGACGAGGAAGACGACGACGACGACGACCACGACGACGACGATGACGACGACGACGACAACGACGACTACGAAGACGACGACGACGACGACGACGACGAGGAAGACGACGAGGGAGACAACGAGGACGACGACGACGACCACGACGACGACGACGACGAGGACGACGATGACGACGACGAAGACGACGACGACGAGGACGACGACAACGACGAGGACGACGACGACGACAAAGAAGACGACGACGACGAGGAAGACGACGAGAGAGACGACGAGGAAGACGACGACGACGACGACCACGACGACGACGAAGACGACGACGACGACGACGACAACGACGACGACGAGGACGGCGACGACGACGAAGAAGACGCGACGACGAGGAAGACGACGACGACGACGAGGACGAACGACGACGAAGACGACAACGACCAGGAAGACGACGACGACGACAACGACGACGACGACGAGGAAGACGACGACGACGACGAAAAGACGACGACGACGACGACGAGGACGACGACGACGACGAGAAGACGACGACGACGACGACGACGAGGAAGACGACGACGACGACGAAGACGACGACGACGACGACGACGACGACGACGACGACGGCGGCGGCGGCGGCGGCGGCGACGGCGACGGCGGCGGCGGCGCGGCGACGACGACGACGGCGGCGGCGGCGGCGGCGGCGACGGCGACGGCGGCGGCGGCGGCGGCGACGACGACGACGAGGACGACGAGGATGACGACGACGACGAAGAAGACGACGACGACGACGAGGACGACGACGACGCCGACGACGACGACGAAAACGACGACGACGACGACCACGACGACGACGACGACGACGACGACGGCGGCGGCGGCGGCGGCGACGGCGACGGCGGCGGTGGCGGCGGCGACGACGACGACGAGGAGACGGATGAGGACGACGACAGCGACGCCGGCGGGCTGGCAGGGCGCACTGCCTGCGGGGCTGCTCCTGGGCCTGCTCGGCGTCGGCGAGGGCTGCCGCGCAGCGTGCGCGCGGGCGAGCGGCGTGCGGCTAGGGCCGCCGACGCTGCTGCCGTCGCCGCAGCTGGGCGTGGCCGGCTGCTTCGCCCGGGCCGAGAGCCCGCCGCCCTCGCGGGCCGAGGCCCTGAGGCCTCGCGCGGGGGATCGGCTGCAGAAGGGAGTCAGCCCGTACAATGATCGGGGCGGACGATGAAGGGGGGGATTGGGAAAGGGGGGGGGGTACGAAATTTGCTGCATGCAGCCGGTTTCGGCCTCCGGCGCCGGGAGGCGCCGGAGGCCAAAACCGGCGCCGGGAGGCGCCTCCGGCGCCGGGAGGCGCCGGGAAAATCAGCTACGTGAGCTGATTCTCACCCCCCCCCTTTGCTATCCCCCCCTTTCGCCCGACCCGAAATAAGGATGCGCGATAAGGATGCAAGGCCCTTGGAAGCCCATCTCGAAGTTCTCGAGCGGGGGGCGACCAGCGAAGGTGGCCAAGGATGCATCGAGGAGGCACGGATGCGAGGGCACCCTTGGGAAGGTTGTCCGTCCTTACTATGCGGGTTGACGGTACAGTCGGGGCGCTGACCTAAGGAACCTTAAGTAAGGAACGAGGTCCCTTTTCTCCAGAAGTTGAACTTCGATTTCCCTTCGAAAACCTAAGGAAAACGTAGAGCAAACTGTGAAACAATTAAGGAACACGGAGGCCCTACCCAACGAAAAGAGTTCCTTCTTCAGCGCCCCGACTGTAGAGTCATCCCGATGCAGCCGGACTCGATGGTGAGGATGCGTACTCCAGATTTCGTAATAAAAGGGAGGGGGTCACAATCCTCCCAGACCGCAAGTTTTAGACCCCCCAGACCATCCATGAAAGGGCGGCACTTCGCCCAGACCCCCCTAACCCTCCAAGACAGCTCAAATCAGACCCCCCCCGCCAAATGTGACCCCCCCTACTTTCGGGGGAGCGTAAGACCCGGGTTTGCCAGGACTCGGGTTCGCCATCGTTTTTTGACGACCGCGATTCGGATTTTGACGAGTAGGAGTTTCGTGGGATGTCTGCAGCGGGAGGCCTCGTCAAAATGCACGCTCGGCCTCGTCATTTTTTTGACGACCTCGTCGGGGGTTTTCGAGTCCCCTGTACCCGGGTCTTACGCCCCCCTGATACTTTGTTATGGAATCCGGAGTAACCTCCCTACCCTTTTGCAGCCCTGCCTCCTCGGTCTATATCCTCTTGGGCCCTCGACGGCCCGCCCCGCCTCGCACGGCTCCGGCAGTGGCTTTTATTCCAAGGGGTCTGCATCCCCATGGCGCGTCCCGACTGTCCTCACCGTCGGACTGCGAGGGAGAGGAGGCGACGACGGCGACGACGGCCACGACGGCGCCAGCGTGGGATCGACCACAGAATCGCAGGCCTAGAGATTGACACCAACACCAAGATCGGCGGTGTGCATCTACCAAGGGAAGAAGATCCCGATCTCGGTGATGGTGGTAATATTTTGGCTTCCGAGGTGACCGAAATGTTGCCACCAACACCGAAATCCAGGATCATCTTCCCCATGTGGAGGCAACTCCCTGTGTTGGTGTTGGTGCCCATTTCCACGCCTCCAGCATAAGTGATTTTCCCCGATGTCTCGTTTTCCCGTCGGAGCCATGATCGTACGTCAAGCGCCAGTAGATCTGCGAACGTCCTGCCCATCTCTCTCGTAGACTCGACGAGGACAGCCCTTGCTGGGGCACGTCAATTCTGTAGGCTGGAAGGGAGAGGAGGAGGGGGAGGAGGAGGAGCAGGAGGAGGCGCAGGAGGAGGAGTTGGAGGAGGAGGAGGAGGAGGAGGAGGGGGAGGAGGAGGAGGAGGGGAGGAGGGGGGAGGAGGGGGGAGGAGGAGGAGGAGGGAGGAGGAGGAGGGGAGGGGAGAGGAGGTGGAGGGAGAGGGGGGGAGGGAGGAGGAGGAGGGGGGAGGAGGAGAGGAGGAGGAGGAGGAGGAGGAGGAGGAGGAGGAGGAGGAGGAGGAGGAGGAGGGCATCGATCCCCTACTCGAAGGCTGGCCCTCGCGCCGCCGCTCGCGGTGGCGGCGGCGTCCTGCGTGCTGCTCGCCCTCGGCGCCCCGGTGGGCGACGGCGCCGCGGCGGCGGCCGCGGGCGTGGCGCCGGCGGCGGCCCGCGTGGCGTGGCCGCTGGCGCTACTGCCGGGAGGGTGCAGCGCGCAGCTGTGGGCAGGCACGCACGGCCTGCTCATGCGGCGGCGAGCCCGGGGGGGAGCCGCGGGGATCTAGCCCTCCTAGATGGGGTCAGAATACATGGGGTCTGAGGATCGCGCCGCATCGCCGATGCATCGCCGATGCGGCTCGATGTGGAGCCCTTGTTTCCCCGCGCCGGCGTCGCCGATGCATCGCCGATACATCGGCGATGCATTGTCGATGCGGCGCGATCCTTCGCCAACCCCTACTCGGAACCCATATAGGAGGCCTCTAGGGGAAGGAGTAGGGGAACAAAAAGCTACATAAACATAACAACTCGGAGGCCCGCGCGGATTTCTCGGATCGGCGCTGGGGCCCCCCGGCGGCGCCTCTGGCGCCGCCCCTGGCGCGCTCCGCGCGCCAGGGAGGGGGGTCCAGCGCGGATCCGAGACATCCGCGCGGACCTTTTTGAGTTTTTATGTTTGTGTCATTGGTCGTTCCCCTATAGGGGGCGTGCCTTCCTCGGAAGGCCCTGGGCCTGCCGACGAGTTCTGGAGGCCCTCCCGGGAGGCACAGGGGACCTTTCCAGCAGGCTGGAGGGATGCGGAGGAGCCCCGCCGCCTGCTGAGGATCCGGCGATCGCGAGCAAGCACTCAGGGGGCGTGGATTAGCGACGGGCCTCGTTTTCACTAGAAATCGCGGACTTCCGCCCGCATTTTGGGGAGGGCACCTCCCCCGATCCATGGAGTTGGCGACCGCGCGCCAAACCCCTGGATCGCCAGTCCATGCTTGCGCGCCCCCGATGGGAAGGCCTTCTCTTCCCACTTCCCCCCGTGCGCGCCGCCGATCATGGCCAGCTACGCGCTGCTCCCCCACAGCCCGGACGGCAGGACGCCGGGAGGGGCCCATTTGGTAGCCAGTCGTGCGAGCCTCGTGTGTCCTCGATGTTGCGTCTTTCGAGTGCACTTGCGTGCGCCAGCCTAGCGTCCTGGTAGTCAAGGAGAGAGAGAGAGAGAGAGAGCGCCGACTCGGCGTCGATGTGGTGTCGACGAGCGTCGTCCGGCAGCGTCCGGTTCGCAAGAGCCAGCAAGGTGACGTGGGACCAGGGGGGGGGATATCATTCAGCACGAAAGAAATCGGAAAGAATGGGTACAATGCCCAACAGCAGTTCCTGTGCATTTTGACCAGGATTCGCTGTCCGCGCCGCCGCGGCCTGTGTCCATTTGAGACAGAACGCCGCCTGCACAACAGCGGCCGCTGTTGGTTTGGGACAACATTTGCCGTTGGGCATTGTACCCATTCTTTCCGTACCCATTTCGGGCGTCCAAAATCATGGCGGGGGCCACGATTTTTCCCCAGATTTCATGGCGCCTCTTCTCACTTCATGACGTCCCTGGCCCCCCCGCTGGGCCGCGCACGTGCCGCCGGTCATGATTTGCACCCCCCCCTTTTGGACACCCCCCTCTTGGCCGCTCCCCAAGATCTCACAGCTGCCGGATTTGCCCTCATCAGAGATTCGGAGGTGGATAAACCTCCTACCCTGACACGTCGATTAGCGAATTGGCCGTTCTCGGTTCGCGAGAGGGCGTCGCGGCCGTCATTTTTGCGGGTCCAGGCCTGTCGATGTTGGTCCCGGGCCGTTTTCACTACAGGGTGGTTTGCTAAAGGGAGGTTTGTCCACCGCCGAGAGATGCGTCTCGCCAGCGTCCCCTCGAGAGCGGCGCAGCTCGCAGGGAGGCGCTGTGCAGGGGCCACCGGCTCTCCCCTCGGCGCGTGCCGAGGCCTGGCCCCAGGGGGGCCGCTGCTGCGGGAAAGCTTGTGGCCTCCCTGGAGGATGGCGCTGCAGAGCCTGGTCGGCCCCGGCACCGCAAGACAGGTCCTGAGGGCGGAACGCAAGAGTCTGCACGGACGGAATGGGCGCGGAAAGAATGGGTACAGTGCCCAACAGCGGATCCTGTGCATTTTGACCAGGATTCGCTGTCCGCGCCGCCGCGGCCTGTGTCCATTTGAGACAGAACGCCGCCTGCACAACAGCGGCCGCTGTTGGTTTGGGACAACATTTGCCGTTGGGCATTGTACCCATTCTTTCCGTACCCATTTCGGGCGTCCAAAAAGATGTTGGTACGGGAACCGATTTTCTAGGTCCTCTGGGGGCAGAGGGCACAGAAGCATGCGACCTCCATGGGGATGAGACAGTGCCCATGTCACATGCCCACTGCCTCTCGGAGTCTCGGAAAACCAGTTCCCCGAGTGGTGGTAATTGTGTATTGTTTTTTTCGCACGCGGCCTCCAGAGCCTTCGATTCAGTCCTGGACCTCTAGCATCCGTCCTGGATGGTTGTGTGACGGCCCCTCTTCCCAGAAACGGCTTCGAGGCGCAGAACACCGCGAAACCGTAATTTGAGTTGCTACTGTCTCAAACCGGTCTGCAAGGTGTTTTACGCATCGCTCTACCTGCATCCGATCCTGGGCTTGCTGGCCACACTCTGCGGCTTCGGAGGGGGCTGGGCGATGCTTCCCATCATGTGGAGCTTCCTCCTCATCAACACGAGGCCCAACGGCGATGTGCCCGCGCCGTCGTCCTTGTCCTCCCCATCGCCGCCGCCGACGCCACTGACGTCTTCCTTGTTCTCGTCTTCTTCGTCGTCGTGGTCGTCTCCGTTGCTGTCGTCACCCGCGCGTGCACTGCGTGGCGAGATGCCCCCACCCCTCAGGACGTATGACTGCTGGAGCCCCCCTGGAGCGGCCCGGCACCTCCCAGGCCACCCGGCCCACCCAGCAGAATCTGATCCCGCCCTGTTGCCTCCATCGCGGCCAACCTTCCTCCTCTTCCTCCTCCTCCTCCTCCTCCTCCTC